TGTGCAGAGAGGGAGCAGGGTGTGTGTGTGTACGTGCAGAGAGGGAGCAGGGTGTCAGTGTGTACGTGCAGAGAGGGAGAAGGGTGAGGGTGTGTACGTGCAGAGTGGGAGCAGGGTATGAGTGTGTACGTGCAGAGAGGGAGCAGGGTGTGAGAGTGTTTGTGTAGAGAGGGAGCAGGGTGAGGGTGTGTACGTGCAGAGATGGAGCAGGGTGTGAGTGTGTTCGTGCAGAGAGGGAGCAGGGTGTGAGTGTGTACGTGTAGAGAGGGAGCAGGGTGTCAGTGTGTACGTGCAGAGAGGGAGCAGGATGAGAGTGTGTACATGCAGAGGGGGAGCAGGCTGTGAGTGTCTACGTGTAGAGAGGGAGCAGGGTGTGGGTGTGTACGTGTAGAGAGGGAGCAGGGCGTGAGTGTGTACGTGCAGAGAGGGAGCAGGGTGTGAGCGTGTATCTGTAGAGAGGGAGCAGTGTGTGGGTGTGTACGTGCAGAGAGGGTGCAGGGTGCGGGTGTGTATGTGCAGAGAGGGAGCAGGGTGTGAGTGTGTACGTGCAGAGAGGGAGCAGGGTGTGGGTGTGTATCTGTAGAGAGGGAGCAGTGTGTGGGTGTGTACGTGCAGAGAGGGTGCAGGGTGCGGGTGTGTATGTGCAGAGAGGGAGCCGGGTGTGAGTGTGTACGTGCAGAGAGGGAGCAGGGTGTGGGTGTGTATCTGTAGAGAGGGAGCAGTGTGTGGGTGTGTACGTGCAGAGAGGGTGCAGGGTGCGGGTGTGTATGTGCAGAGAGGGAGCAGGGTGTGAGTGTGTACGTGCAGAGAGGGAGCAGGCTGTGGGTGTGTACGTGCAGAGAGGGAGCGGGGTGTGAATGTGTACGTGCAGAGAGGGAGCAGTGTGTGGGTGTGTACGTGTAGAGATGGAGCAGGGTGTGAGTGTGTATATGTAGAGAGGGAGCAGGGTGTGAGTGTATACGTGTAGAGAGGGAGCAGGGTGTGGGTGTGTACGTGCAGAGAGGGAGCAGGGTGTGAGTGTGTACGTGCAGAGAGGGAGCAGGGTGTCAGTGTGTACGTGCAGAGAGGGAGCAGGGTGTGAGAGTGTACATGTTGAGAGGGAGCAGGGTGTGAGTGTATATGTGTAGAGAGGGACCAGGGTGAGGGTGTGTACGTGCAGAGAGGTAGCAGGGTGTGAGTGTGTATGTGCAGAGGAGGAGCAGGCTGTGAGTGTGTACGTGTAGAGAGGGAGCAGGGTGTGGGTGTGTACGTGTAGAGAGGGAGCAGGGTGTGAGTGTATACGTGTAGAGAGGGAGCACGGTGTGGGTGTATACGTGTGGACAGGGAGCAGGGTGTGGGTGTATACGTGTGGAGAGGGAGCAGGGTGTGGGTGTGTACGTGTAGAGAGGGAGCAGGGTGTGAGTGTATACGTTTAGAGAGGGAGCACGGTGTGGGTGTATACGTGTGGAGAGGGAGCAGGGTGTGGGTGTGTATGTGTAGAGAGGGAGCAGGGTGTGGGTGTGTACATGAAGAGCGGGAGCCCGGAATGGGCAGTATGTTTACCGGCAATACCTGTGCCCCTATGTCCTCAGGATAACTATATCTTGGCACTTGATTGTCTCCTGGGCAAGTTGTGTCCTACCCATGGCTCGGTGCATATTCCCTGTGAAACTGAGGTGATGGTGAGAAAAGAAATCACATTATAGAAACCAGCAATTTGTTGTCACATTTAATTCCGTGCCCAGTGTCTAATTCTCTCACTCTGACTCTCTATAGGGATCATACTCAGTGCCGTTGGCATCAATCCATTGTTGGCACATTCACTGTGAGGAATGTTGGCTTCGCACACTGGTAAGGGCATGCACTCCCTCACCATGAGTCATAATTTTGGCACGTCTTTATCCCCAGTTGTGAAAGCTTTGATTTTGAATTAAAATGACATTCATTCAGATATAACACACAGGGTGATTTCAACCACCTTGTACTGTTTTTATAATAGCTCCCCCAACCCCGTGTTGGAGACGACCATTCGTGCTGGGGGCCATTTCCAACGTGTGTTTCCCACATCGAGGTCTATTCTTCATCCGTGAGCCGCTCTCCCCATGACCAATATGTTAGTCGACTTTGGAAGCCATTACAGTTTTTTTTCAGAGCGCGGGTCAAAGATGAGAGATTGGAGACTTGCGTCTGATGTTCCCCTTTGTAACTTTGGGGCACAATTCTTTGACTGAATTAGTAATCCCTGTTGGGAACAACCAATTTGGCACAGATGTAGGATTGTTGTGACTGTGCAGTTGGCGTGGATCAGGCATGAGTTAACAGGATGTTCTATCCCTGTGGTGATGTGCTATGCATTAACACCATAACTGGCTGATCACTTCGCCCAGGCCCGATATCCTGGGTACTGTGCGCAGGGTGGCACTCTGCCTGGTGTCCACTGAGATATCCTACCTGAGGACAGTCTCCCCTTCACAGATGGTCTCCCCTTTGCTTTAACATACGATTTTGATCAAAATTTTCAAAATAATGAGGACTAAGTCGACAAAGCTGACTCATTCCTGGACTGAGAACCGGGGTTTGGAGGGGGGATGGGGGCCACAGTTCCCAAGTATTTGGCACAAGGCTGTTACTGGGAAGAAAACTTTTTCACTCAGCAAGTAGTTAGGCTGCAGGATGCATTGCCTGGAACTGTGGTGGAGGGCAGGTCCAACTGAGGTATTCATAAGGGCGTTGGAGAATTATTTAAACAGAAACAATACGCCGAGCAATAGGGAAAAGCAATAGGAGATTGACACTCTAAAATGGGCAGAGAGCTAGTGCAGACATGATGGACTGAATGGCCTCATTCTACACCATAACTTTTCTGTGACCATTTCCTAATGCCCTACAGTTCCTCTGGGCCAAATCCTTCCTTTAACTCCGTCCCTTTTATACATCATTTTTAAAGTCCTCATTTGTGTTTTCAAATCCCTCTGTATGTTTGTCACCTCCTCCAGCCTCATGTCCCTGTACCTCTCACTCTCACTTCCTGAGCCACCTGGATTTGAATCACATCCGTCATTGGTGTGTCTCTGTCTGCAGTGAACTGGATCCGAAACTCTGGAATTCTCTCCCTAAACCTCTCTGACTCACATTTTCCTCCCTCAAGCTGGTCCTTAAACCTACCTCTTCGAGCCAGCTTTAGGTCACCTGACCTGATGGCCACATGCGGTTCAGTGTCATACCTTGGTAGCTGCTCTGATTTGCAGATCTTTATTAAGCTAATGGTGCTATATAAATATAAATAGTTGTTGTTATAGGGCTGGTGACTCTCCCCGGGGGCTGGTTGGAAAGCCGAGGGTCAAGGGGCTGACTTTGTACCTCTATAATCTGCAAACAGGCCAACAATAGCTTGTAAACCTTTACGCTGCTTAATTCAGTTCTCGGTCTCTTACAGGGGTCAAAGAAGCTGTGCCCACAGTGTAACACCATCACGTCACCAGGTGACCTACGCAGGATCTACCTGTAGAAGATCCCACTGTATTCTGAAGTGAGACAAGCCCTGGATCCCAGGAGCAGTGATCCCAGGATCTCTTGGATCTGAACAGTCCTCAGTGTGGGGCTTCCTGAAATGATTTTGAAGAATTGATTCTAATTTTCAGTCAGAATGTCAAAGGCTTCGTCCCATGGTTTCTCTGAGTTCAATAAACTGACAAATCCAAGCCTGAGGGAGACCCTGTTGTCATACCCGTTTCTTGTCTTAATTCCGTGGTCTCAGAACTGTGGTAAGGAGGTGATGTGGGGACTACCCTGAAGTGATGGGACAGATCACTGTTTGAGCTGGACACCTCTCCCAGCTCACTGCTGAAAGGGTGACATGTTCATTCTCTACACAAATCGCCAGCGTTTGCAGATTTCCTGTGTCTGCATTTTCGTTTTCACTTGAAGTTTAAACACTCTCTGCCCGCGATTCCTCTTTCTTGTCACTCCCTCACTTTGTGTACTATTCTGCAAGCATTTAGGAGCTGGTAGTCAACATGCTGCCAGTCAGTGACCTGTTTGTGTTCCCTGTCTGGTAGCATGTCTGTGTGTCTGTCTGTATATCTGTGTCTGCCTGTATTTGTGTGTTTGTCTGTGTGTGTGTGTATGTCTGACTGTGTGTATGTGTCTATCTGTCTGTATGCCCGTGTGTCTGTATCTGTCTATCTGTATGACTGTATGTGCATGTGCCTGTATGTCTCTGTTTGTGCCTAATTGTATACCTGTGTCTGCCTGTATTTGTGTGTCTGTGTGTGTGTACGTCTGTTTGTGTTTGTCTTTCTGTTTGTATGTATGCCTGCGTGTGTGTGTGTGTGTGTGTGTTTGTATGTCTGTGTTTCTCTTTGTGCATCTCTGCCTGTATGTCTGGTGTCTGCATGTCTCTGTGTGTGCATCTGCCTGTATATATCTGTGTCTCTGTGTGTGTGTGTGTGCCTATCTGTATGCCAGTGCATGTATGTGTGGCTGCCTGTATATGTGTGTGTGTGTGTCTGCCTGTCTGTATGCCTGTGTGTGTGTCTGTAGGTCTGTGTCTCTGTGTATATGGCTGTCAGTATGTCTGTGTATGTGTGTGTATGTCTATGTCTCTGTGTGTGTGTATGTCTGTGTCTCTGCGTCTGTGTGTGTGCGCGCGCGCGTGTGTCTGTGTGCGCGGGTGTGAGACAGAGAATGGCAGTGACAGCAAGGTGGCACCAGATGGCAGGGTTGCACCACATTTGGGTGTAAACCTCTCCGGCTGAGAGAGCAGACTGTAATTAAAAGTGGTCAGACTATTGTTGATTTGGTATAGTGAGCGTTCCTACCCCTGGGTCAGAAAGCCCAAGTTCAAATCCCACCTGCCCCAGACATGTGTCAAAACATATGAGTAGGTCAAGTAATAATACCTACAATTGGAGCATTTACTGTGCAGGATAGCTCTGCCTGAGAAGAGGCACATCTTATTTTCTCAGTTTGAACAAAATCTGTTTATTTTCATTGATACTCAAATACTGTGCTGCTAAGGATGTTGCAGGGTTTGGAGGGTTTGAGCTACAGGGAGAGGCTGAATAGCCTGGGTCTATTTTCCCTGGAGCGTCAGAGGCTGAGGGGTGACCTTATAGAGGCCTATAAAATCATGAGGGGCATGGATAGGGCAAATAGACAAGGCCTTTTCCCCAGGGTAGGGGAGCCCAAAACTAGAGGGGCATAGATTTAAGGTGAGAGGGGAAAGGTTTAAAAAGGACATAAGGAACAACTTTTTCACACAGAGGGTGGTGTGTGTGTGGAATGAGCTGCCAGAGGAGGTGGTGGAGGCTGGTACAATTACAACATTTAAAAGGCATCTGCGTAGGTACATGAATAGGAAGGTTTAGAGGGATATGGGCCAAATGCTGGCAAAGGGGACTAGATTTATTTAGGATATCTGGTCAGCATGGACGAGTTGGACTGAAGGGTCTGTTTCCGTGCTGTACATCTCTACGACTCTATAAATGACTACTCAATGTTGCTATGCTGTTAATCATTTACATGTAAGTCATTTCAACACAGAGAAGAAAGATTGTGTTCCCTAATGTGTTTACAGCTCTCTTCTGTTGGAATGTTTCTTAAACAGAACATGCTGCTTCTCTAACAGCTCAAGCTACCTTTGTTAGGAACATACTCACAAGCAAACCAATTAGAAACAGGAGAAGAGATAGTAAGAACTGCCGATGCTGGAGAATCTGAGATAACAAGGTGTAGAGCTGGATGAACACAGCAGGCCAAGCAGCATCAGAGGAGCAGGAAAGGTGACGTTTCGGGTCTGGACTCTTCGTCTGAAAAGTAGCATCTGAAGAAGAGTCCTGACCCGAAACGTCACCTTTCCTGCCCCTCTGATGCTGCCTGGCCTGTTGTGTTCCTCCAGCTCCACACTGTGTTATCAGAAGCAGGAAAAGGCTATCTTTCAGTCCTTTGAGCCTGACTTCAGGATCCATTAAGGTCACAACTGATTCCTTTGCTTTCCGAATTCTGCATTCCAGTCTCCCTGGATAAACTTAGATCTGCACATGCGAATTCAGAGGTCGAGTGAAAGGAGGTGATCTAGTGTGAGGATCAAATCCTGGGACCATCTAAAGAGGAGAGCTGTCCAGCTTTTGAAGTGACGACCTGGATATACAGATTGACACAGGCAGTCAGCATTCTGTGGTGCAGGGGTTGGGAGATTGTCCCGGGACATATGAGACAGTCTGAGCTTTCAGAACCTTCCCAAAGAGATCACAGCTCAGAGGTCTGGGGACTGAGCAACATTACAATTGCCCTTCAATAATGTGCTGCCTGAGGCGAGAGCGATCCTTGCAAAGTACATCCATCCAGATGAATCATCAGAAACTCACACTAATAACAACTTGCGGTCATAGAGTCATAGGGATATGCAGCACAGAAACAGACCCTTTGCTCCAACTCATCCATGCCGGCCAGATATCCTAAATTCATCTAGTTCCATTTGCCAACATTTCCCTCCACTCATTTACCCATCCCGATGCCTTTTAAATGTTACACAGCAAACAGTAACACACAAATACTGATAAACTGCTCTGAGAGCTGCTCACAATATTGATAACTCGCTCAGACAATGTGGGTGTCACTGGCAAGATCTAGCATTTGTGGTCCGTCCATAATTGCCCCTTGAAGTGAGTGCCTTGCTTCGGTCATTTCCCAGTTAAAACATTGGTCTGGAGTCATATATAAGTCAGATCGCATAAAGATTGCACCTTGAGGGTAATGATGAACTTGTTGGGTTTTTATAATCGATGATCGTTTCATTGAACTGAAATTCCACCAGCTCTTGTGGTGAGATTGGAATGCGTGTCAGATGAATACATACATATTCCACTGTATTTCCATGTTACACTTTAACAGCTCAGGGCAGTGCCATACCATCCAGCTGTACGTTCCTTCACCTTCCAGCATTTTGTATGCAAACACAAGTGAGAGTTAGTCCAGCTCCTACTGTGCCAATCACACGTCTCCAATGCAGCACCAACCGTGCTTTCTGAAACTGGGGCTAAGGTATAATTATGGTGAAAATATTGAAAATTCTTAACTCTGTGTCTAACCCTGTGCTGTCCCTGTCCTGGGAGTGTTAATGGGGACAGTGTAGAGGGAGCTTTACTCTGTATCTAACCCCGGGCTGTCCCTGTCCTGGGAGTGTTTGATGGGGACAGTGTAGAGGGAGCTTTACTCTGTATCTAACCCCGTGCTGTCCCTATCCTGGGAGTGTTTGATGGGGACAGTGTAGAGGGAGCTTTACTCTGTATCTAACCCCGTGCTGTCCCTGTCCTGGGAGTGTTTGATGGGGACAGTGTAGGGGAAGCTTTACTCTGTATCTAACCCCATGCTGTTCCTGTCCTGGGATTGTTTGATGGGGACAGTGTAGAGAGAGCTTTACTCTGTATCTAACCCCATGCTGTTCTGTCCTGGGAGTGTTTGATGGCGACAGTGTAGGGGAAGCTTTACTCTGTATCTAACCCCATGCTGTCCCTGTCCTGGGATGATTGATGGGGACAGTGTAGAGGGAGCTTTACTCTGTATCTAACCCCGTGCTGTCCCTGTCCTGTCGATGGGGACAGTGTAGAGGGTGCTTTACTCTGTATCTAACCCCGTGCTGTCCCTGTCCTGGGAGTATCTGATGGGGGACAGTGGTGAGGGAGGTTTATTCTGTATCTAACCCCGTGCTGTCCCTGTCCTGGGAGTGTTTGATGGGGGACAGTGTAGAGGAAGCTTTACTCTGTATCTAACCCTGTACTGTCCCTGTCCTGTTGATGGGGGACAGTGGTGAGGGAACTCTGTGTTTAGCCACAGACACTATTTACCCTGAACTGTTGTCAAAAGAATCTTGTGTTCAGTTGCATTTACCAAATACCTCTTTTTGAAATCACATTTCACTGACAGATCACTTGAAGTTGCATCGTATAAATATTTGGCTTCCTTTTAGGAATGTACAAGATGTTAAAAGACTGTCGACTTTTGTGAAGTGATTGTGCGCTGCTGTCATCCTGTAACATCACTGACTGTCCTCTGCCATTTACTGTGGGATTGATGGCTCGTAAAACATCCAAAGCAACACAGTGCTAACGACAGAAGGGGAATGAGCAGGAATTTGCTGACAGTGAGGGTCACTAGTAGTCTGGACGAACCCGTTCCACCCAATTGTGTATTTCTAATGAGTTCGGTTATGTACAGAGAGTGAGGAAATGCAGTGTCTGTTCTTTCACTTTGGTGTGTCATGTCACCGATCCCCTGTTCCCGACCTGCACACAGGATTAAAGCTTCCGCCTGTATTCCCTAAGGCACTGCCAGAGGTATCTTTCATGTCTGAGAGATTTTGTAGGCATCAGGTTTTATGATGCTAATTGCCAGCCCAAATAACAGGGGACAAAGTGCAGAGCTGGATGAACACAGCAGGCCAGGCAGCGTCAGAGGAGCAGGAAAGCTGATGTTTAGGGTCGGGACCCTCTTTCGGAAATGGGGGAGGGGGAAGGGGATTCTGAAATAAATAGAGAGAGGGGGAGGTGGATAGAAGATGGATAAAGGAGCACATAGATGGAGAGAAGACGGACAGGTCAAGGAGGTGGGAATGGAGCCAGTAAAGGTGAGTGTATGTGGGGAGTGGGGGTGGGTGTTCGTCAGTTGGGAGGGAGGGGCGGGTGGGCGGGAGGGAAGATGGACAGGTCAAGGA